TGCTTTTTACACCATATTTGCTGTTGGTTTAATGCATAGCTATTCATAATTTAATTATGTCAGACTTCACTAACTGTAACAATTACCTAAAATCAAGATTATCTTTGCCCTTTTAGTGGTCACTGTGTTCAAGTGGTGTTCTTAAACAGAATATTTGCTGTAACAAGAAATTATTTGTTTATTATTTGTGCTTATCTAGTGTTTCTAAGAGTCAGAATCAACTTGATTTAGCAGCCTGAATTATATTATTTCTTGTGGTTTGTTTAATGATTCAAAATGACAAATTAAGTGAGAAATAATAAATAAATAACATTTACAAGTGGTTAATTCAAATCGAGGATTGCAACTGATTTAAATATCCAAATGTCCTGTCAAAGTAAGATAATAATTCCTGATTGATAATCTGAATTGCTATTTTTAATCCCTGGAGGCTGGTAACCGTCAATAAAAATGATCTAAATCAAATTTTTATGACGTATTAACTTTGATTAGAATACTACATGATTAATTATGTTAATTCTATTTTCCAACCTTTCAAATTGTTTCACCACTGCAATATAAGGTTTGCAGCAAAGTTATAGAAGCTACTCTTCAGCAAACTTCCAAACTGAATTTATTTTTAAAAATTTAGCTACAGCAGACCACTGCTTCTTTGGGAACAGTTTACCACTGGGGAGCTTGTTGAGACGCCACAACAAGCACGACATTAGAAAGGCAAATGCAAGTGAACTGCTTGGCCTAGCAAGTGTGACGAAGAGGATAGAGTCATCAGAGAGAAACTGAATGAGCTCAGCTGCTGTGGAGTTTGACAGGCAGGTTTATGGAGTGCAGAAAATATAGGATTTTGTCCAATTCAGCACAATCCCCAGCATCTGTCGGGCTTGGGGAGGCATATTTTTATCAACGAGCATAAACCTGGAATTGACTGCAAAATGAGGCTAAATTGCAAGCTATTACTAAGGTATGTGAAGGATTCTAAGGATACATTTTTCAACTTCTCAGCCAAGTTATAGAGGGTCAGGTTCAACCTTTGCTTCAATCTGCATCAGGATGGAAAATACATGAGAAACATGTGGGTTACCTTAACAACATAAACTCTAAGTGACATTGATGTGAAGATCTCTTTAATTGGGCAAGACGAATTCGGTATCCGTTCTGAGATGCTTCTTTCCTTATTTTCACAGTTTGTATCATTAGATCATAAACAAATGCTGCATTTTTAGGTTAAAAGCCCTATTTGATAATAGCTACATTTTAGACATTAAAGCACTAAAGGAGATGATTATTTTCTTAAACCACACAAAAAAAGCAGGATTATCTCTTAAATGAATGTAAATCAATTATCCGTTTAGGTCTAAAGTAGATTTCCAGGGTAAAAACTCTATAAAATCTGTTGATGATAATTAAATCTTTGTTGCGCCGCCCACAACAATTGGCTTCCTTAAAGTCTCCTCTATGTAGCACTGTGTGTAAGACTGTGTGTAAGTGACAACAGCACAGCGCCCTGTTGATTTAGTTCCCCTTTCCTTGGGGAGAAAGTCTGTTGTCTTCCAAAATACATCCTCCCACAAGCACAGAATGCACTCACTTGGAAACCAAGTTGTGGCGAGGCTTTTGTTGCTTGATAATTGTTTTTAGGCAAACATAATTTTGCTAGCAGAGACAGCTAAACCATAACCATGAATCAATGAAATGGTAATGGAGCCGCAGGGGGGGGGAAAGCAAAACATTCAATATAGCGGGGTAACATTATATGAGGAGTTCACTGTCCTTCTATGAAGGCCTTTATCTCCTTCTTTTTCATTCATTTTCTCTGCACATTAACTTTCCATCACTTTAATTCCTCATAAATATTCACTAAATCCTTTTCAAAAAATAAAAAGGTCCTAAGGAGATGCAAACAAACCAATAAACGTGAAATTGAATTAGCTTGCCACCAGCTCACTATCATAACCATTGTTTTTCCCCATTCCCCTTCACACAGGAAGCCAGTCAGGTAAATAATCACCTCTGTTTTAATTACTAAATCAATCATTCTTAATGAGATGGGCTGCTTAGGTGCAGTGGTAACTGCTACTCTTATGATCTCCTTTTCAATTCCTTTATTTAACTAACTGAAACACATCAAACTCTAAAGTAGGGTCATTCATTTAAGTAATTCACAAAACATACAGGTTACCTCATCAAACACTGGTCAATATTTAGAAACTTTAATGTTAATATTCAACACATGGAAAGGGTAACTTTATTGAAGCATAAAGGTTACTTTGGGGATTAAATATAAGCTTTTACTGTCAAAAAAACAAGAAAAACACCAGGAACCTCTTATAGAGTGTGCTATGTAATGTGCAGCCCACTCTGAGATAAAACCCAGCAGTTTGGGTGTTTTATATCAATGTGGTGAAATTAAAATCTGACATTGAAGCAGTCTAACTATTTTGATGAAGCAGTGGCTGGTATAGGGCCCGTTTTATTTTTTCCCACATTCCGTTTTTTTCCGTTTTAATTTTTGCGAATTCAGTTTTTTTTACCCTTTACTGTTATTTCAGTCTTAAAAAGAATATGCTTTTAATGTTAATGATTAAAATGTACACAAATAAAATAGGAATGACCTTAAATTTATTGAGGTAAAAAAAAAACACATTTACTCAGTACTTTTACTGCATGAAGCAACATAACACTGCACTCTAAGTACTAACAAAATATGAATGGTTATGAACCAATGGTTATAAATAAAAGTGCTCCATTAGCTTTTTCAAGTAAAAAAAATAAAATAGGACCTCTTAATTTCAGAATTATAAAGTATTTCATAAAGAATCATATTTTCCACACAGTACATTAAAGTGCATGAAAAACAAGGCAAAATACAGCAAGTATGTAAGCAAGTGTTTCTCAACTTTTTCGCCGAAAGCGGAGCTGTGGAGAGCCGCTTCGCCATTTTTTCAATGTTTTGATGGGGGAGGGTGAGCAGAAATGACGGAGCGGGAGGGGTTGTGTCGCCCAGATTTGCGTCCCCCGATGTGCATTTCCCCCCGACATACGTTCTTCTCCCACACAAAACCAGAATTTCATGTAAAATGTAGAAATTCTGCGTTTACACTAGATTCCGCGTTAATTTGCCAATTCCGCGTTTTTGTCCGCGATTCCGTGATCGCGGAAATTATAGGACTCTACTGGTACTGTACAGCAATCTGTGACCTTTGGAAGAGGTTGGGAAGGAGCCTCAACTGCAGCACATCAAGTTTATTTCCTCTCTATTGTTCAGTTGTATTTTGTGCAGTTTTAAAACAATGCTAATATAAACCATAAGGGCTGCAACGCAGTTGTTTGTTTAGTAAACACCATCTTACAATTGGAGAGCAGGAATTTGTTTTTCCACTCCTTAAAGCAACTAGAAATACCCCAATAAGAAATGCTGATGATGTGATAAAGTCTTGCATAATTGTTGAGGTAAAAAAAGGGATAATTTTATTAATTTCTTCTTTGTGCTGATTTTGTTTTAAACATATCATTAACAACTAATAAAAGGTGTGGGAGACGTTTTGATAATCATGTTTTTTTATTAGCTAATTGTTAATAAAAAGTTGATTAACAGCAATGATGACAGACTTTAATCTTTTAATTATACATTGAAACCTGTCTGAATTAAACAGGGAATAAAGCAAACTATAAAACTTTATTACAAAAACTAATACAGCATTATGATTACTGTGTTAGTTATTGTAATAAAGGCAGAAGCATTCAGACTTCTTCAAGGTAACTGTCTCATCACAATATCTAATCTTGTTCTAATAGGAGGAGTTCTTCAAGCAGCACTGTCTGGACAAACTGCACCTCTTGATTTACAAGCTCAGTCTGTATCCATATTCAGAGCAGGATTCATAAGTCATTTACATAATGTAAGATAAGACACAGCGAGGCTCATAAGCAAGCAAAATCCCTCCTCGGTCTGGAGAGGCCTCACCTGACTAAAACTCAATACAAATTGGGAGCTCAGAAGCAGAACTGATAAAACTAAGCTTCAAATTTAAATAATGAAAAATGCATTAATTAAAAAATGGTACCTTTTAAGGCTGGGCAATCAATCAAGCTGAATGATTAAACATTAGGACTTAGTAATGGGCCCGGTTGTGCTCATGTAGCACAACACGCTCATTCTAACGCTGTAGAGCTGCTCCCAGCCACCAAACCCTCCTTATGAGTTTGTATTCTGTCAAATATGCACACACTCTCTGTCTTATACGACTGATATGCAATCAATAGAAGATGTTTTTAAATTTAAGTCAAGTTTAATTGATGGTCAAAACCATAATAATAATTTTTACAGCTTTCACTAATGGAGGATTGCTTTTCCACCTCAATCAAACATTGAATCTTAAATAAATTCATGTCTCTCTACAACAAGGATTTCACTCAAACAATAGATTTAATTTATTTAGAATTTATGATAAAATCTTAGCGATGTTTGGCAAATAGTGTTGTTTCATTAGCTTTATGATGACACCTGCTGTGGATGCAAGAGGAAACTCTTAATCCACCAGTATGTTTATCAAAGGCGAGCTTTTTTTCTAGGATTGACTCAGGTAGTCTAACCTCCGCTGTGGATCTGTGTGGATGTGATTATGAGTCTGTGATTTGAAAAACAGCACCTCCGGGATGACAAGTGACTCAAACCTCTATTTATCTTCTCTGTGCGTCGTTCATATCATATCGGTGTGATCGGCAAAATACCCGCAGGAGCCGTTCACATCACTAAGCACCTCACGACTGACAGCTAAAGGGCCTTGATCACTTGGCAGATACGGTGAAAGTAGTGATCACTCCTCTGATGGCGTGTGAGGAGGAAGAGAGTACGCTCCATGCAACTCAAAGACACTGGGATCAAGATGGAAATACATTTTCAGAAAACTAATTCAAAAGCTGTGTTTCTGCTAATTTTTAACCAATAATGGGGATTATGTTTTTTTCTGCCAAGTTTAGCTTGAGATTGAGCCACATACCCTGTGTGGGTCGCTGTCATGTCCTCTGTGTCTGGGGTCAAGTTCTTCATATGGTGGCACCATGCCTTCTCGCCTCGCTTGCTGATACTCTCTTCTTAGCAGCTGGATGCGGTCCATGCTGCTGCAACAAAACACATCAGACCACATGAGGAGCTATTAGTAGGGGCAGGTAGCCACAGACACACAGCAAGCAGAGAGAGCTCAAAAAAGACACAGTCATGAATATACTGCAAGAAAATTATCAAAAAAAGATCTGTTTATATATATATATATATATATATATATATATATATATACATACATAATTCAGGGAAAAATGAATCACATTTTGTTTAATGGCAAGTCATCCAACATACCAGACATTAATCAAGCCAGGATGGATGATGAGTTATATAAAAGAAGTTCAAAAATATTCTGAGTTTGGAGGTGGATACCTGCTGGATTTTCAGTTGTGGACGCTAACATAACTAAAACTTTCACATTTTAATATTTTCCTCTTTATTACTTAAAAGTATAGAGGACGATCTTTCATTTCTGGATGGATCATCTAAATAAGTGGTCCTCCAAATTGTCGGTCATTCCAGTTATATTGTTTGCGTAAGGCCGTCCTATGTGCTCGCCCCGTTAGCTATCTTTTTCAGCGCAGGCATACATTCAGGCATTTATCTGTGTTGAGCTACGGTTTCAGCAATTAATTGAAGCTCACCTTTCTCACCACGGTTGTTTGAAAATGGCCAAGGGTCGTAAAAGAAAAAGAGTGTCTGCTAAGCGTATGAGACGAAAAGAAAGGCCTAAGAAGAGGCAGATATATCCCAGAATACTTTGCTCGGAGAGCTCTCCTCGCAGAACATTATGGGATTTGCCATCACAGCGTCCTGCTGTCGCCATAGGCTGCTGCTACCCGACAGCAGCGACTAATAACAAAGATGGCGCAGGCACTGTAGAGTTGACCAACGGGGAAGTGATCATCTGTCGGAACGGTAAGTTGACTCAGTTTACTATAAAGTTCCCGCTCTATATAGTGATGAAGGGATTTTGGGGTTTGGGTGGACATTGGAAAACAGTAAGTTTGTGCATAAGAGCTATGAGAACAACAACTTTTAAACTGAGCGTGCACGAGGAGAAATGGGCTTGTGCATGCTCTCGCACGCGCATTGTTTTGTTTTAAATGAAGAGGGTGGGTCTTAACAATACCTTTAACAGAAATAACGGTATATTTGTGTTTTCGTGTCAAAATTAAGAGAACAACAATACAGTTTCATCTATTATCTACATTATTTCACAGAAATAAACTGAAACTAATGTATTTTTAACTAAGAGCACAAACCTACTAGAGCTATTTTACAAGCATATTTTATAACAGAGATGAACAGGAGTAAATAGCAAGATTCTTTTAAGTATTTCTATATTCTCATACAATTTTTTACCAGTGTTTCTTTTTTCCTGTTGTTTATGCATTGAGAAACATTAAAACAGCAAAAATAAGAATTTATGTCTAGTATTTCTAAGTACCAAAATAAAAGCGCTGTTTGAATGTATAATGGCCAAATGTCACCAGTTTCCTGGTAATGGGATTTGACCAAAAGATCCACTCAGAAATCCAACAGTAAACACATAATACATCGAGGAAAATATAATCAAACAGTCATCCTCATGGTGATGAGGCCAAACAAGTCAGCTGTTTATTCAAACAGTAATCCTCCCAACATCAACTTCAAAACTTTGACTGCAGAGATGAATACACCGATCCCTTGATCACTCTCACTGCCTGCATCTATTTCTGTTTCCTTTTTTCCTCCTTCTTCTCTGGCAACAGGAAAGAAAACAAGACCATCAATCATTTCATGAATATTCTCTCTGTCAACGCAGGAAATATACAGCATATCAACACTGAACTCTGGGCACCCTTGTGAGTCACGCACATGCACACATATCCACTCACCCACACATAATGGAAATGCAGAAAGTCATATCATGCACATACAGTATGAGGCCATATGCAACATTAGAGATGCAGTTTGCAATTTCATGAACCGAGTTGGAGCAAGAGGGGAAGAAAAATGCTCTGAAGGAACATCAGGTGATTTATGAAAAGTCTGAAAAAGAGCAACATACACATACACAAAAATACCATCAGAATGGCTCCAGGACATTCTGTGAGCACAGCGCATTCTGAGGGATCATGAATGAATATTGCTATTTGCTGTTTGTGGATATTTGTTTTTGTTAAATTTACAGCCAAATGCATTGTTTAGAAGAAAAAAAACAGAAACATGCAACCCTTAAATAATGAAAGGAAACATTTAGACTAAGAAATGAACAATATTTAATCAGATTGCTTCACATTTATCACCTTGCATCTCATGTTTTACATTTTCTAGGCCAATTGAAGATACATTAAATTAGAAGTGCTGCAGTTTCTCTGTATCGTTTGAATAACTGCAGTCTCAAAGAAGTAGCTATCAAACTGCATTCTGTATTTTTTTAAAAGATGCTGCATTTCAGTGACACATAATCTAGTTTTTATGCTTGCATGAATGTGTGTGTGTGTTTGCACTTTAAGGCAAAAAGCAAACGAGAGCTTTGTCAGCAGAAACACCAAACGTCACTCTGAAATAGAAGCCTTCGAAGGAGAAATCAACCTGATGACAGAGCAAAACAACTTTTAGGGCTAAAGATTTCTTTGCTTTTTAAAAAAAAAACTTATTAACTCATAAGACTTTTAAACTTAGTTTTTTAAACAATTGACTTTTTTTACTTATTCACTCTTAAGAAGGTGATAGTTGGTTGGCTACCTTAAAAAATCCAACAATAAATAAATAATTAATAATAATAAAAAAAGAATGAATTTCAGTTCTTTATCCAGAAAAACAAAAGTAGAAACATTAATTAAAAAGACAACATGTTTCTCTAACTAACCTGAACATAGACATAAACAAGCATTGTTGTAAATGAAAAGTTGAAGGCAAATCCAAAATAAAAGGGATTATTCCACTGCTATAAAGAATCGATAAATATTAAACTAGAGTAAAAATAAAAGAGTTTTTAATTTTGTGTTCATCTTTAGAAGAAAAACTTAATGGATTTTATACAATTTCGGTTAAAAAGTCTGCAAATATGTTTTTTTATGCTGAATGGAAAAATGTTAGTTCTGTCAATCCTTAAAAATTCCAAACCTTTGCTCCGATCATGACATCCAGATTAGGATAAACTGACCTTACTCTTCATGTACAGGCAGCTCAGAACTTTGAAGGATGGTCATGTACTCCCACTTTCTCATCCTGAGATGCAGGAACAGCAACAGCAGACCAAACTGAGCCTGTTGCTTAATTATGGAAGGCTGTAACACCTAAACTCATCTCTCAGAACCCAGGTAGGGTTCAATCAGGGCAGAGGCAACTTTGGGCATGGGCAAACCAGGCAGCTTATTTCATGACTCACAGGGAACAGAAATGCCACTTTAAAGAAGAAAAGGACTTAAATTTTTTCAGATTATCTACCATGTCACTGTGTGGAAAACTGGCAACTTTTGCAGCTGAAGGCACTCCCCAGGAAGAAGAATGATAAAGATGTATTCAACATGAAGAAAAAGTGGTTGAAAGGCAGCAGGTCATTTTGGTCGGTGCATTAAGGAGGCTACGGTAAAATGACAAGTTCCAGTTGTCTGTGTACAGATTGGTAGAAATATAATAGATTATGATATGAAAAGCAAAGGAAGTTGTTTCTGGTTATTTTGACAGTTATCATGAGCTAAGATGATGAATTATGAAACAGATAAACAATTGAAAGGTTTTCCCTCAGATATTACAGATATACCACTACAACACAGAGCTGCTGTCATGTATCTGGTAAGTCAGATACATGCAGTGTCCACTCAAAAATAAAGATATTTATTATATATGGTTTGAATCTATTTTAAAACCTCCTTATAGAATATTAATGTCATTCATCTGTGAGGTCAGGAAAAGAAAGAGAGAAGAGAGGGAGGTCTAATATTATGTAAAACAGCCACTTCATACCAAGGGCTCAATATTGGATTTTTGTCTATACAGAAATCAGTGCATTAGTAAGATGTTTAATTCATGTAAATACTGGTTTGACCTAATGGAGAATATGAACACAGGCAGGAACAAGACAGACATGAGGTAAGAGATGACATCCTGTATGTAGAAGACCAGCGAAAACTAGATGCTGAGAATGGTTTCAAGTCCTTCTGAGAAATTAAGTGCAGACAGACGTAGCAAATCAATCTGTCTTGAGAACTGAGTCCATAGAAGCTACTTCTGGGGTTGTGTATTTTTTTATGGGACAGGTAGAGAAGAATCTGATAAAACTTTTGTTTTTAATTCAATAATAGACAATCACCCAAATTTCTAAGAAATCAAACCTAAATATGTTTTCCTCTTTAGATCTCACAGTCATTTAGACGCAGATAAGATCTTAACAATCTCCACTCACCCATTACTAAAAGTGCAGAATTTGGGACTTAGACTTATTTACATCTGAGTGCTTCGGAGTATTATGAAAGTCTTAGTGTGGTTGTCTTCTAGCAAAAGGTGCATAATGCCAGTTTTCTCCCTGTGTGGCACTCAATAAGTGAGAACTAGAAAATGGTAAAAAAATGGTAAATTGTAAAAAGTGTCAATGACACAGGACCTATTTGATGAACCCAGGCAGCAGAAGTAAGATCTTATGCAGTATAAAATACCCTTTTTCTGGGTTAAAGACAAAAGAGACATTTTAATATTGCAAAACAAATATTAGATATGAAAGATTACTGCATCATGTCGTTCCACAATACTTTGCAATTGGACCTGTTCACTTTGAAACACACATCACAGACTTGTCATAAGTAGTCTTGTCATATGAGAGAATATGAATCCTTGCCTAAAATTGAGTTTTATGCAGATGAAATAAAACCATACTTATATTTTTTGTCAGAACATGGCAGCTGCAAGTATGTAGCAGCTGTCTCAAAACGAGCATTGTTCATCCTAAAAGTAAATATATCTCATTTGAGCATCATGACATGATGCATCTAAGAACAGAGCATGGCTTCAGTCTTTGTGATATGATTTTTTTTAGGAGATGTGCAAGGATCTGTAGGCTAATCAAACACAT